GGGAAAAAGTTGCAGGGATCATCAATCATTCTCCTCAGCTGCTCACCTAATACAAGGAGGGAAGTGTACACAGAGACTTGCTTAGCAGGAAATCTAGAGTGAATGGGGAAGACTTGTAGACCATATCTGGCCCACAGACAATTGTTCCTCCTTATAAACAGTTGCGGTATACATGGGATAAACTGATCTTTCTGTATGGCAACATATTCATATAATAAAAATAGTGCCTTGCATACCAGTCCTAAATGTATTACATAAAAGTACTTTTTAATAATATCACAATAAGCTTAGGATGTTATTTGACTGCCCATGGAAGGGCCAAAAAAGAAAATGGTATAATAGATCAGTCTTGCTCCCAAAGTCATGGTGGTGGTGAGTTTTATTCTCATGATTTTTGCCTTCCAACCCTCAGTGCTAAATGCATCAAGGTCTCTAGAGAAGCAATGTCCATGGGAAATTGGAAATGCACACCCACTTTAAGCACCAATGAATGTTTCCGGAGGATTTGTTCTGTCCTTTTATTCTAAAAATATCAGTGCACAAATTTTGGACCTACACTTTAAATTACATTCAGTCTGACAAAAAGCAGAATCTGAAAATACCAATTTCAGATTCAAACTGATATGCAGTATTGGATCAATACTTACATTTATGAGTGACAAAACAGCCAGTTAATTGTGAGAGGTAAGAAGCATCAGTGATTAAAGAGTTAAAAGAAAAGCAGCTTTTGCCTCTGAAAGAACCTAATATTTCTGCTTTGGCCTTATATCAATCCCAACTGCAATCTGGAGTGGAGAAGAATGCTCTTATTCATTGAATCACTTTCATTTGACTAGATTCCTAAACATTTTCCATGATTTACAATTTCAGGGCTTTTCCTAAAAAAGAAAAGCATAAACAGTACATGGTTTTACATAACATGCAGCTTGAAATGCGAGTGTGCCTGTGTTCTTACATCAACATTTCCATTCTCCAGACCCATTGGTAGAGGTTCATAGCTTGCCTGCAGTAAACATGGGACTTAGTATCTCTTGTAGTCTCAGACCTGTTAAAATACATGAGGATCTGCTTTGCCCTAGAGAGAAAGTTGGCTTGAGTGTATCCTAGGCAGATTCCAAGTCCGCAGCAACCTGGTATTTAAGTAAAATATTTTCCCACCTAAAAATGTAGGGTCGTCTTAAGAGAAGCCAGAACAAACACAGAGGCCCCTATTGCTTCCAGTAAAAAAATTCAAAAGAGCCCTTTAATGCAAAGTCTATGTACCATGGGCAGTTCTATTTTGTGGGTAAAGTTAGCATAATATTAGAAAGGTGTATCTGAAAGATAGCTCACATTGGTCAAAATGAACAAGCAAGCTTGAATAGAAGGTGATGCAAATAGTTTGAATTTTCTCCATACAAGACTGGTTAAAGTAGCTCTATTTATTTTCTACACTAGGAGAATATATAGACCACTAAATGGTGTTGAACTACATCTCTCTCACCAGTGAGATGGCCAGTGGTGAGGAATGCTTGGAGTTATAGTTGAACTTTTGATAACTCAAGATGAACATGTTCCTTCCTCTTCTTCCTCAACTATATAAGAACGTATTTCACCATCTTTCATTTCATTCATCTTTCTTTCATTAAGGCGCTATTTTCAGTGTAAACTCCTGCTGTAGAAATTAAAGTTCACTTTGCCATTGCTAAACTTTAGTACAAGAGACTAGAGATGCTAGCTCTTCGTATTTTTCTTGACCTTACCTTGAAGCTTTCACTAAAATATCCAATTTGTTTAAGAAAAGGCGGCTAAGCCAGAACCTTGGAAACTTCTTGGCAATTAGAAGAATGTGTGAAATGTCTGCAGAGGAGTCAGATTAATTAAAAGGAACTGTTCCCAAGAAACCCTGGATAAATGTAAATACCTACCTGATTGTCAAGTCAGGGGCTCAGCTTGCTAGTTTGCAAAAACAGGGCAAATTGCTCAGTTCAGAGCCTTAGGAAGTAACCTATTCCACCTGAGAGATCAACTAGTTGAGTACCACCTGAATGCCCCGTCTCTTTGCATTGCATTTGCATCATTCCTTGTCTTTCATTGGCTGACTTTTACACAGTAAAATGAATTTGATTTAATTTATTCAAAGAGAAGGGACCCATGATCACGATCCTTTCATTCAGCCCCAGATCCAGTGTGTACTTCTCTAAAGATTACAATTATCCCCAAGTCTGGGCAGCCATTGCTTTTTCTTTTTGCTTAACTACTAAGCATGCTCCTGACTTTGACCTTAGTTCTAAAATTGCCTCAGATTCACAACATTGACCCCTTCCACACTATCCTAAGATTTAACCCATGCTTCCAGGTCAGTGTTCATCAATTTCTTTTCCTGTACTATGTGGCTGCCAGAATTTATTGATTTTTTACATTTATACCTCACCGCAATCCTGCAGGACTCTCAGCAGTTTCACATGACCACTGAAACATCTAGTCAGATATTCAAACAATAATAAAAACTTGAAAATGTACCAAAAACCCAAGTCCCAAATACCCTCTGGAAGAACTCCCTTTCCACCTGCTTTTGTAATGCCAGGTAGCACCAGCACACTGAACCCCACACTGCAGTATGATCTCTCTCAGCACCTTCATGTAGTTACTAAACAGCAGCAGGGGGAAGGAGCTCTCGTACTACAGTGACAGGAACTGTCCACTGAGAAAAGAGTGGAACCACTGCCTCCAATCCCCAACCCCCAAAGACAATCCAGAAGGATACCACAGTTGACAGTACCAAAGGCTAGTAAGAGATCTAAAAAACCCAGGAGAGGTGCACTACTCCCATCCAAGTCCCAATCTACTAGTGTGACCAGGGCTGTCTCTGCCCCATGCCCATGCCTAAACCCTTACTGAGAAGGACCCAAATATTCCACTTCATCTAGGGTGCTCTGGTCCCTCACTGCAGACTCCACGCCTTCATTATAAAAAAGGAGCATTGGAAACTGCACAGTAGTTATCTAACACCCCCAGATCCAGGGAAGGCCCCTGGAGAGGGCATTCCGCACTGTCTTTTAAGGCTGCTGGCAACCTTAAAACCTTTAAGGAGATGCTAGCAATTACCTGGAATTATCACCTTCTCTGACTGCCCAAAGGAGCCAGGAAAGACAAGGACCCGGTCCTCATGTAACAGAGGACTTCCTAGAAAGTACTCTATTCACTTCCCCAGAAATCACAGTCCAAAATGAATTCCAGATAACCTGGCAAGATAATGCCCCAGTGATCAGTGGGGACCCAAGCTACTTATTTATGAAATTTATATGGCTGATTAAATCAAATAACTGTGACTCTGGGTGGTGTATAATAAAAAAAAAAGCAAGATAAATACATTCCAGAGGGCAGACATGATGGAAAAGGCAAGAATGTGAATGACTTTACCAGCAAAATGTGTGCTAACTGGTTACAGCAGTCAAATGGAAGCTCTTGTAATTGGCTCTTCCTCAAAAGAGAACTGGTCACCTTGAACAAAGTCACTGGATGACAACCTGCTGATGCAATACAAGAGAAGAATGCGTTGTGTGTCTCATCAGCACGGAGTAGACATGAACTGGGCACGTACCTGTGCTTGCCCAGATTCACTCATCTTCTTCCACTTATACTCTAGCTGTCACTTCTGCTTCATCTCCCGGAAGCTCTCAGAAAACCAAAGAGCTGTCCGGGATTGGCTGATAGGAATGATTTTGCCAAGCCATGTTTCCATTTTCAGTGCCTTGTATTGGGCTCTGTCCTATGCAGAATTTGATTTTGAGACCAGCGGTGGTGCTCAAGCAGGAAATTTACAGCATTTTAGAAAACCTGGTATCAAAAATCTCCAAAGAAATGTTATTATCTAGCAACCTACTAAATGTTAGTTAAGCCCCATTCTTGTCTCCTTGATAGTTCAATAATGCTCTAAGAAATTGTTTTAACCTGCTAGACCAGAGTGTGACCTAAACTCATTGCGTTTCAAAATTATACAAATATTCATTTATCTGGTAGAACTTTGATCATATGTCTTACGCCAACACAAAGCCTTCCCTTAATATGACATCATACAGATTCAAGAAGCGTTCGCTTACCTTCTCTCCATTTTCACTAAGCTACACTTTACCTAAGCACTTTTTTATGGCTACCACTATGCACGCCGCATGAGTAGGTGGGTAAAGCAAACTGTAGTTGGAAAAATATGGCTTCTGAATGATCTTATATCTTAAAAATGACTCACACATAGAAATTTGTACATCCAGAATTTCTTTCTACACTGGGCATTCCCATGCATTGTGTTTACCTTGTTAAAATGGAAAACAGATTGACAGGTTGAAATCCCAAATATGATTTTACTTCATCCCAAGAAAGATCACATGCTTAGAGTCGCATCAGTTTAGAAAATGCAGCAGATTTTATCTCATGCTAAATTCGTTCAGGTCAATTTTTATGATGGTATGACAAATAGGCAAACATCAGAAACCATAGCTAAACAGAATGCTGTAAAAAGACCATCAGACTCAAATCAGAATTCTGTTCATCGCAGTACAGTGTTTCTGCAGCTAAGAAGGAGCAAGCCTCCAAAAGTAAATTTGTTACATTTCATGTGAGCTTGAAAATAGTCAATGACTTCCACAGTAGTTAAAAACAGTATGTACATCAACACCTCTCTAAAGACCAAGTTGTCTCTCACCTGGCATTTTATGCTTGTGTGAGTTCTCGCATTTATAGAAATATAATATTAATTAGACCAGGAGTCCTTAACTGCGGTCTATGGGTCAGTGGTTAGATTTCAGTTGGTCCATGAATAATTACCACCTTATTTTCCCTAACCCATAATTGAAATTTAGTTTTAGATGTAGGCAATGAAGTAATATATGGTCTCTAGGTTCCAAAAACGTTTGTTAACCTCAACAAATCTCATTATCTTCAATTATTATACCCTAAAAATTATATTGCATTGGTATTGATTTAATAGATTAATAAAGAAGCACACACATTGCTATATTACATATTATTTATTAAATATTTTGATAACTGTATTTGAGCATAACAACATAGAACTGGTCAACTGAATGCCAATGTAGCTAACACAAATCAATTCATTTATAATCAGATGAGACCTTCAGTAGTATGAAATAACATACAAAATTAAAATAAATTATCACATATAATGATTTATTGCATAGGCTTGGGTATTTTTAGAAGACATCCATTATTCTTAGCTGAAATAGAATAATGTAAGAACACACCATTTCAGATGTGTCACACAATTCATGTACATGTTAAATGAATCCAAGCTGTATTGTGAGATAACCTGACTGATGTCTTGCTGAATCTGTTAATCCTTTTAAAGCTAAGTAAGGAGCCATTGCTATATCTTGCCATGGCCCAAGTGCATAGCTAAACTATGGTTTTCAGTAATGTTTTAGGATCATGCCAAGCCAGACATCTCAACATAAGCCCCTCTAATCAGCTACTGCAAATGCTAAATCAAGAGAGAGCAAGGCCAATATAATCCAATAGCAAAGATGAAGTTTGAAAAAGAGAGCCCACAGACAAAAAGATGAAGAAAATGTCAGATTATACTGCAGTGATCTGCAGCAAAAATCTTTAATAAGGGTAACTTAAGCAAAATCACAGACATTGTGGGAGAAAATCTACAGAAACTCATTTTACCTGTGATCAGATGAGAGCAGTTCCTATGCTCAAAGGAGGAAGGTGGTCATTATGCCCAAAGTAGAGTCAGTAGGCAAACTTATTGCAAATAATCCTTGAGAAACTTTGTCCCCCACATATTATTTATGTAATATAACTGGAGCTGCACTTTGAGAAATTGAATATTTTTATCATTCATCTGTTGGTACATTTCTAAATCATAGCTCATCCTACTTGGTTGATCCATGGGCTAGATATGATTTTGTCCTCTTTTTAAAACATGTTTACCTTTGTCTACCACCTTGTCTACCTGGCTGTAAGGCTACATGGGGATGTAAAAAACAAAAAATAGAGAACACCACCCTAATCAAAACCCCACAATCCTCAGCACTGCAAACTGCTTCTATAAATGCTGTCCAAGAAAACTTGATGGACTTCCTCATGAAGTCAACAAGAACGGAAGTCAACTTGAAGGAGACTTTGTCTTCTTTTTAAAATTACCTTAGAAATAAAACATGTAAAAACCTAAAAGTATAGACGTATCATTTGACATAATTGATTGCAGCTGGCAGATAGAATTCTGTCCAGTGCAGTTTTAATTATGGATTACTTTAGAACGCTTGGATGTTCAGAAGGAAACTGAACTCCTATTTTGTACCTCATGCCATCTCCAAAAATTATTTCCAAAGCCAGCATCAGGAGCTGCACCAAGAAAAGGAAGAGAATTCCAGCTGTAAAAGGAAGAACTTATTTTGCCTGCTCTGGATCTTGCCTTGTTCTGGATCCCAGCTACTGCTCAGATTTACTAAGAACTGAAGTATGTTAACTCCACTCCTTCTGAAGAGAAAAGCTGATGCAGTTAGCATAAAAACAAGACTTAAAAGAATAAGGTTTTCCAATTTGGAAGATTCAAACATTTCTAGTAGCAGGTAGAATAAAAATAATGATAGGAACTATCAATAATTAACTCTTCTGCTGATTTGTTTTGTTCCCCCTTTATGGAAAAGTGATAAATGGTATGGCAAGCAGCAAACATAAATGCCATAAAGTTGTCTTAAATTAATACAAACAGGCACACATTTTATTTCCCTGAGAATATTTTAACTGGCAAGCTTCTGCTACATTTCTCTAGGAACAGCTACAAAACTGAAGAATATAGCCTATCCTAAAAGTTATGCCTAGAAAAACATCTTCTGTATGCTTTTTAAGTATATATGGCGTATATATTGCTGGTACAGTTTAAAAAGGAGAGGGACAGAATTCAGTAATTTGACTATAGAGACAAAAACAAAATATACTTCAAATTCCCTTTTCATAAATTGATAAATTTCTGTTAATGTGAGATCCTATTCCATGATGACTACTTAGTCTTGGCTGTCCTCAAAATTGTCCAACTTCCCCTAAGAAAAATAATCTTAGTGGTTACACAATCTAAGGATCAAGATTATTTGGATTTCTAATAGAATTCTGTAAAAGATACAGATGAGAGGTGTACAGAGTAGAAGTCTTTCATTTTGTAAACCTGAGGATCTTGTTTCATGCCTAACATCCTCTTGCCCTTTGCAAGAGAATTTTTGTTATGAAACTATTTTAGAAAAAAGCAGAGAATTAAGAAAGCTCAGGGGACATAATCAGCTGGATAATCACTCTCCAAGCCTTGTTTAAAAAACAAAAAGGGGGTATCGTATGCTCAGTATCTTTTTTGCCATTTTAATCAAATAACAAAGGCATGTACTGTAAAGAACACTGCATGTTAGTGTCTGCGCTGATGTAGCATTTTGTCTCTTAAATGCTCCTCCAAACATTGAACTGCAAAAGGGTCAATGTCATTATCAAACTTGTTGGCAAAGAAATGATGTTTCTGTAACATCCAGCTCAAGTCTCCAACTCCAAAGACACATATAGAGCGGACGTGGACTCCATTACAGGGGGGATAAGGGGCACCCTTGGACACATCCCCCTCAAAGTAATGCCACTTCACAAACCGGGCAATTGCATTCATATCAGAAACATCGTATTTGTCACTGGCAGGGACTGCACCAGGAACCTCAGGGATTCGCTGAATTGTTGCCCATAAGAATTCATCAGGACTGTACGTGTCTTTAGCCCACTCCATAAAAGCAAGAATTTTTCTGTTCTCTAATACATATTCCACAAACCTCCTGCTGACAACAAAATAGGCACTGCCAGAGAAAATGGGTGTATTGAGAGGTGGATGCTGTTTATCTATTCCCATATTTTTTAACTTGCCATCAACCACTTCGTGATGTTTCTTCCACCGCACCTCCTTGTTTGAAGGCATTTTTTCAGTTTCTAAACTATTTTCACCCTTGAGGGCTTTCAAACTCTCCACTATTTCTTGGTTGGTCTTGATGGGGAAATCCATGCCACAGAGGTTGATCAAGTATTTCCAGCTCACGCTCCTCCTGTAGAGATCCTTCATACAGTTGAGGTCAGCTTGCACCCTGCTCCAGGATGCATACACTACACTCTCCAGTTGGCTGGCAATGAAGACATTGAGGTCAGCTTGCACCCTGCTCCAGGATGCATACACTACACTCTCCAGTTGGCTGGCAATGAAGACATTGAGGTCAGCTTGCACCCTGCTCCAGGATGCATACACTACACTCTCCAGTTGGCTGGCAATGAAGACATTGTGAAAACATGATGCAATTCCTTTTACAGCTGTCAAGAAAGACTCTGGGGACTTTTTGTCAACATGAATGCAGTAATAGTTCTGAGGAGCATATATGGTTCTCAGAAGCCTCTCAAGCATACTAATTTTATGATAAACCACTATTGAATATGCAATGGGAAATTCTGCTTCTTCTTTGCTAAGAGGTTCCATAATATATTTCCGCCCCTTAATAAAGGAGGCACAATCAACTGTCATGTTGATATAGTCATTTGCAGTCACCTTTGGGGTCCTCCTAAAGGAAACTGTTAACAGCTCAAGTTTTACCTTTTGAATTTCCTCTGTGTCACCTTTCAGTATCTTGGAACAGTTTATCCTATTGGGATATTCACCAGTCAATTCCAAATGTTCATAATCTTGGTAGGTTGGTTTCTGGTGAATTGTGATGTAACACCAGATTCCAACTGTGCAAACAAATACCCAAAGAGGTTTAAACCGTAGGACACCACAGTGACAAAATTTCCTCCTCAGCATTTCAGAGAACATTTGGAAGGTTTCAGACACCTAAGAGACTTTCTCGGTACACATTTCCAGCCTTGCAGTTTTCTGTTGGCATTTCTCAGAAATAGGCTCCTATAAATGAAAGAGAAGATAAAGTCAGGGAGAACCAGCTCTTTCGTTTTTAATCTGCTGTATATTTAAGGGTGACAAAGCTGCCTAGCGCTATCTTTACTGTCATTCAGTTAAATGAGGACATATCTTTCATAACAGGTATTTGACAGACAAATGCTTGGTAATTAACATTTAACCATAGAGTTATGGTATATACAGACAGATGCACATAAATTCAAACCTATATATACGCTTGTCATTCATAACTTTGCTTTACATTTTTGCATATATAAGGTATCCCCTTTAAGAGGAATCATCTGGTCCTTATGATGAGATGGTGTAATATGTCATGTGTTGTTGTTCATCTGAGGTTGTATTTACCTACTTTTGAGAACTGCTA